ACTAGCTCAAGTATGTGTTGAATAAATTATAAGTAATATATTTATTTTTATTATTTTTTTTAATCTATGAAACCTTTCAAATAGTTTGCATGGTCATCTTAATTTCAGCATCATAATTATTTGCTATAGTATTAATTTTACTTGTTTGAAATTTTGAAAAAATAATTATTGTGTACTTTGATATTATTTATTTATTTTCTAAATTTGATTTAGTTGCTTTATCATATTTTTAGTTCGAAAATTTTATTTATTTGATTTTTGAATGGATTTTTTATTATTCTAATGTTGCTTTTTTCCCCCCTTCAATAAAATCGATTAAGTCGATAAACTTATTCTAGTTTTGTTTTTGTTTTGGAAGTCCTGTTTGATTTGTGTACAGTGTTTAGGTTCGCTTCATTTTTTACTCTCAATGTGATCAAAAAATAAAATTATTATGATTTTTTATATCTATTTAACTTGTTTGTGTTTAACCCACTGGCGGTTAAGGAAATGGGCAAAATTGGGAGAATGTTTCTCCGCTACACACAGTTCCCCTATCAGTTAACATGGGAAAACCAGTTTTGCTATGCAGAGAAGACTGCAGGTTAAAATGCGACTTTTTACGTGCAGAACCGTCAGTGGGTTAAAATATGTTTTTAGATAATCTTTTTTGCAAAAATATTTAAACAATAATGAAATTTAGCAAAACTCTTTTTATTTCTGCTTAGAAAATTCATTACACACTTCATATGCTGTGTATAATGATCTGTTTAAATATTTTTAAAAAATATTTCCAAGAGCTTTTGGAATTTTTATAACTTAAGCTAACCTTAGTTGTATTATTTCATTGCATTTTTAAGACTATATCTTAATTTACTCCCTAATTCTGTGAAAGTAAGAATATCTCATTTGTTTTAAAATCTAGCATTATACAAAATGTTATTAATGAAGGCAGTTGTTTGAAGCTAAATGCATTTTAATTATTTTTCACATATGTTTTATATTAATACAATTGACTACTTTTAATTTGAATTTAAAAAAAGTTAGAGTTAAAAAAATTTAAACTAACAAAAATGTGCATTAGTTAAAAATAAACAGTACAAAAATCCAAACGTTAAACAATATCAAACTAAAGTATTTATGAAATAAATGTACCTGAAAATATGTTTTATTTTAAATATGCATAGTGCAATATTATATAATTCAAAATTCATAAACTCATTGTATATGTTCATTGTATTTGCTTACACCAGAGATCTATTAAAAAAAAAAAAAGCTCTGAAAACAAGTATTAGAACTGCTTTTAAATTATTCATTTAAAAAATTGTAAATAGAATACATGAATGGTGATAATATAATGACTTTTACCTCCTTGAATAAATACTACTTTCTTTCTTAACTCTTTTCATCATTCCCTTTTCTATTATGAAACCTTCATATCATCGTCTTTTAGAAAATTGATATTTAAAAATTTAGAGGGCAAAAAAATTTTTTGGTGACTTTTCAAATTCACTTTATTAACAAAGTTAACAAAAACAAGTTAAAAAGTTTGGGGGAAAAACACACTTTAACATTGGTATCAATAGTGAATATTAGGGAATTTTATGTCTGTTCAAAATATCTATGTATAAATTAAAAGAGTTCTCTTATTTTATCATATTTGTTTAGTCTGTCAGAACACATAAGATATTAATTTAATTTAGTTTGCGATCTTTGTTGTATTTTTGCATACTAATTGATTTCCAATTTTTTTCCAAATATTGAAGAAAAAAGAAACTGGGTTTATAATTTAAGTGAATTATTTAAAATATAATAAATATTTTGCATCTTGTTTTTATCTGCCCTTAGTAGAGGTTATGAATGTCTTGTTATTATTAATTTTGATATCTATTGTGTTATTTTTTTCCTTATAAATACACACACAATGCAATTAGTTCATAATTTTACACATTATGTTACTATAATATTTATCTATGAAATTATTTATTTATTCTATATTGGCATTTAATATAATAATTATATTAAAATAGTCTATTTTTTGATATAACTTATATTGGATTTCATAGCTTTTCATTATTTTTTTCTCCTCTTCAGAACATTGATGATTTTGGAACTAAGTCAGTCATTCGAAAGTTGGCATGGTAAGAAAAAAACAGTTTTTAGTTATTAATCATTCTTCTTTCTGAGTAATTCTCTGCAAATAGGCTGAAATGATGTAAATGAAAGCTATTTTAGTTTTTTTCTGTAGAAAAAGGAATAAGTTACAGTGAAACTTTCAGAAAAGATCACCTCTATTTACGACCACTTTTGGGAGGCACAGAATTTTTTCCATAGACTTTGTGTTGAAGAAAACCTTTGGGAGAGACCATCAAAACCTCCCCCAGCAACCATGCAAATCTAAGCACCAAATGGAGAAATGGTTAAATAAGGAAACACAAAGAGGAATTAAAATGAAAAATATTAACAAAACAAATATGTAGATTGAAATGCATTCAAAGTATTTGTGTGAGGCTCTTATTTGAAGAGCTCTTTTTGACGATATCTGAAAAAGATCTACAACCTCATGTTGCAGTCAGAGTGCACTAAAGACAGTGCTATCTATTATTTATTTTTAGAGTTGAAAGCTAAATTAGTAAACAAAAGTTATTTCAGAAAAAACTTATCATCTCAAGCAAACAAACCTCTTTTCATCTTTTAAAGCTGACTAATTTTTATGATGTAAAAATAAATGCAAACTTAAGCAAAAAATATAATTGTTAATTTATTTGAAATAGTTCTATCATTCATAATTGATAAATTTGTTTTTACACATAATTATAACAATAAGGATTATTTATATTGATGCTAAATTTTATTTATTGAGTTTTCATGGCGCTAGCACAAGTAGCATTTCCACCCCAAGAAGATGTTACTGACTAAAATTAAAATTGTTTGTGAAAACTCTTGTACCTTCGATAACATTTATGTCAATGGAGGTAATCCCTAAGAATGACAAACTTCAATTAACGACTGTTTTACTGTGGAACAGAGAGTGGTTGCACCTGAGTGGTTTCACTGTAATTGTTCAATAGTTATAGGATGTCTTTATTACATTACCTCATAAGTTTGAAATATTATTTGAACCTTATTAATTTTTTAACCTGTGAAATCTCATTTCTTCACTTGCAACTCTTACCATCTGATACAAAAAAAAAAAAACTTCATTTCTCACTGGGGAAAAATGCATTTCCTTTGATCAACTTTTATCTTTTAAAATTAACACTTGTAGTATTGTTACTATATATTAAGTTAATTTTTTGGTTTTTAAATAGCAAAAAAGTTTGAAACTCATAATTCGTATTATTCTTTCTCTTATAGCAATTCAGAATGTTTCAGATGGATGGCATTATTATTTTGGAGGAAAAAAGTGTTCTAAGAACATGTTCTGATAAAACTGCAAAACAATCTTCAGTAAACTGGGAGAAGTTCTTCAATGTGTAAAAAGAAACTAAAAAAAGGAATCACTTCTCCTTATGGGATAGTTTAAGAATTGTTATTTTGATTTTATTCATGGGCTTAAACTTTAAAAGCAAATAATGTTATTTTCTCATTCTCTCACTCTGAGAAAATGGCACTTTAGTGAACGATTGATTCTAATAATTTTAAAGACTGGTTGAAAAATAATTTTTTTAACATCTATAATATAAAAAAAGTTATTTTTTTAAAGGAAGTTATAGACTGACAAACACTGAAATATGTTCATTAAATATATTATTTTGAATGTGTTTCTAAAAAAATTATTTTTCCTGCACCATGTTATCCATTTCCCCACTTTAATAAAAACTTATTATTTAAATATTTTTTAAAATGTTAAGCTATGTTTTTGTCTAGTACCTTCTTGTTACAAAAAATTACAAATTTCCGATACAACTATCTTTCTCATTGTCACTACCAGAAAATAGCTTATTTATAGAGAATGACCCATCTAATACTTAATACTAAATTATAGCCTAATTAAACTTGCATTCTTAATGTTTAATTTTAATATTTCTTTATGTTTTAGGTGTTTATGTAATGAAAATTGGCCTGTTGAGTATCAATGGAAACTTTTAACATTTTTATCTAAAGTTGTAGTATCAGCAAAATCACCACTCACACAAGGTTAGTATTTATTTTTTTAAATACTGT